CGAACAATCATTTTGCACATAATTAGTATATACAAATTATTTATTATATATATTATATATAATTCACAGTTGTGTATATTAAATATATAATGTAATATCTAAATATAAGGTCAATAATAAATAATAAACATTATTATTGTTAAAGATAGATCAATCGGATGGCCTGACCTTTATTTTCAACAGCTCGACTACCTCCAATAATTTATGAGCAGATATAGTTTTCTAACATTTTCCAGATCCTTAATTTAAATAGAAATATATATCAGCAGCGACCGCTTCATAGATCACTTGCACGCTTTGCGACGGATCACTGTGAAGACAAGCGCAAAGGTCCTGATTTCGCACGCACAAAGGAAAGATCTCGTGAACTCTTTTCATCCTTCGAGGCCGCCCTCTAATGCGACGATTGGTTCTTCTAACCTCCTCTCAGTGTGCATTTTCACAAAAAGCAAGGATTGGAAGAAAAACTCACGATAGTCTTGAATTAGAATAGAAATAGAATACAGTTCAGGTAGAATTCAGCGATACAATTTGCATCAAAATATAATTAGAACCATTAGCAAAGATTTAAATTTAATTTAATATCATCATTTGTTCACTCAAGATTTCTAATATAAACAATTATATAGTTTTATCGTAATAGATGATCCTTCAAACAGTAGCATCAGTTTGGCATTTGTTCAATATCTAAAGTTGTTCATCTTTTGACTTGAATAATTATTTAATTATGTAATGTAATAATTTTTGTTAATAATATAAATCCTAAATGCATTTTTGTACATCATATAAAATATAAAATAAAAATAGTTTGAGGAAAATTAATTGAAGATTTTCAATTATTGTTAATATTACTAATATTAAAAAAAATTATTAAGATATGAACAAAATAAAAATAATAATATAACAATAATATAATATTTTTTAATAGCTCTATGAAATATTTTGAAATAAATATTGTCTCTAAATTTAAATATGGAATATACAAAAAAAAGAAAAAAAGAAAAAAAGAAATAAAATAACTAAATTCAAAATAAAAGAAAATATATTACCAATAATCACAATTTTTCTTATAAAATAAAGTTCTTACAAAAAATCTTCATGAGGAAAAAAACTTTTATAAAAAACAACAAAGGTTTTTTGAAGAAAAAACTATTAAAAGCTAAAAAAAAAAGATTTAATATTATAAAATAAATCATTATGAATAATTGTCATAGTAAAATTTTTTCGACATAAATGAATATATTATTTAAAATAAGAAAACTAGAAATTAAAAAGTTAGCAAATATTTTATAAGTCACAATTTATTTTAAGTCTAAAACATTATTCAAATATTGAAGTATCGAAATATATGAAAAACACTTGTCATTGACTGAAAAAGAAAAGACTTAAAGATTTTATCTTAATGCATAAACATTTCTAATGAAAAATTTCTAGAAAAAAAACACTCTAATTCTTATTAATCTGATAATAAAACTCATATAAATGATTACTCGTTAAAAATTAATCTGAAAAAAAATTAGATCGAAGTTAATATTATCTTTAAAAAAAAATTGCATCCTTCATTTTAATTTGTATTTTTATCTATAATTAAAAAGATATGTGCAATCTTCAACTAATCTCAAAGAAAATCGATCTTAAAAAAGAATTGAAAATATATAGGTATAATTATAAATATAGTTGCAGATAATATGACAATTATCTTTAATTGCATTAGTAATCGCTTTTATAAATAAGATGCAGAGAAAGTATGATACATAAATAGATAACTCTATTCCTTTTTATAATTTGCAATAATATGTGGCAATTTAGAAGAATATAAAAAAAAATTAATAATTAATAAAAGAAGTGAATTTTAATTAGAATAAATACGTATAATCTTTTAAAAATTAATAAATATAATTATTTAAATGAATAAACTACAAAAATATGAAAGGTAAATGAATATCAATACATATATCTGGAATTTCTTTTCATGTAAAAAGAAAATAATTTATATAAAATAATTTTTTCAACAGAGAAATATTATTTTTATTAAAGAGATCCATTTCACTTATAATTTCAAACATTCCTTTTCTTTTTCTTTATTTTCATATTAGTTTATGGAGATATGTTACAATTTTATACAATTTAGAAAAAAATTTTGTATGTATGAAATATTTTTAATGTATGTATGTATGTATATTAAATATTTTTAAAATTATATTTATATATTATTATATAATTTTAATATATTATTATATACATTTTAAAATATTTACAAAAAAATCTGTTCTAAAAAATTCAAATCATTATTTTATTGAATTATATTATAAAATTAATATGAATTTATATATTATATAATTATTTTTATAAAATTATAATTTCTACAATATAATACAATATAATAAAATATAATAATTTCTGCAATTTTATAAATAATTTTATATAAATATTAATTATTTATCGCAGATTTATTTATGAAGAAGAATTCTAATATATACTATGCTTTTAGGTACAATAATTGATGTATTTAAAACAAAAATCTTAGCGTGGACACTAGAAACCCAATATGCTTCATTAATACACATTATTATAATTAATGAGATATTTGCTTTACGTGTATTTGAATGGAAAGGACAATTACGATATATTTGGAGTATAATATACGCTAGTATATGCATAATTTTATACGTTACGTTTCTGAATATAATAATGAATACGAATTTCAAATGGCCTATTTATCAAGAGATCACTTTTAAAATAGTTTCATTTATTCATATTATATGTATGATAATATTTATAATTTTTGGAATGATGAATACAAAAGTAAGTATTTTTAAAAATATAACATATAATATATATATTATATGTTATAATTTTAATATAAAATAATAATATAATATAATATATAATAATATATAACAAATAAGAATATAAGATAATTAAAATAATAAATTATAATATAATATAATATAATAATAAATTAAGATAATAAAATCATAAAATAATCAAAATAAAAATATTGAAATGATTAAAGTTACAATAATTAATAGCAAATATCGTGATAATTTATATTATATTATTATAACTTTTTTATTATTAATATTTGATGAAGATAATATTTAAATTTTTTAAGAATTCGTAATAACTGTTTCGATTTTCTGAATAAAAAATATTTAAAATATTGAAAAATAATTTTTAGAAAAGTTACCAAATTGTATTAGTTATATTGATGATAAATATTCAAATTCACGAATTTTATATTTACAATTTATATAATATACATACATAATAATAATCTATTGTATTTTTAATTACTATCGAAAAGTCTAATTGAAAAATTATGATGAATAAAAATAACTATAAAAAAATTATAAATATATTAAATTTCCAAATAGTAAGAAGGAAATGAATTATGAAGTTTGATTTATTTAATGATTTATAATATGATTCAGAGAAAGTTTTTCTGCAAAAAAATTCATCGTGCGTTTGTTTTTTATTAAACATAAAAGATTATTAAGATGATGTTGTTAAAGAATAATGTTTCTTAAAATTACAATATTAATTTAATATTTTCTTGAGTAGGTATATTGATATCACATCATTGGATTCTCTAATTTTCTCTAAAATTTCATATCTTATTGTAATAAAATAATGTAAGGAAGTATTAATTTTAATGCAAATATTTAAATATTATGAAGTAGAATAACATGTTGATATTATTGTGTTTCAAAAATATTATCTAGAATATGTATTATCTAGAATATATAATTAGAAATGAGATATTTTCTCATCGATTTTAATAATTTTGGAATATGTTGCAAAAGTCAACATTTTAAATAAATTTTTTTATGTATATAAGCGGCATTTAATTTTTTAATCTCGTTCTTTTCTATATAATTATTAATAATTACTAAAATAAATACAAAAATTAATACATAAGAATGTCGAAAATTAATTTATAATGTTTTAATGTTTTAAATTAGCTTTAGATAAAGTAAGATACAGAAGGAATAAAACCATTTTGAATCCGCCATAGCACAATTTCTTTGTTTTGTTTCATCTAATATAAACTTAAGTTGTTTCTAATTTAAAGAATAGGATTCAATCAATATTTTTGTATATTAACTTTTGTATTTCTTGTATCGAAAATAGACTTATAAATATATTAACAACTTATATTCTAATTCTTTATATTTTTCTAATATCTTTCCATTTCTCTTTTTTTTTTATTATAGTATTCAAAAAAAATCATTGCAAAATGTGAACAAATAGATAATATTTTGAAATCATTTGGAATTGAGAAAAATTATAAAAAAACTTTTTTTCATATTGCACAAAAATTAATTATGTCCAGCACAATAATGATAAGTATTATTTTGCTAAATTGGTATATTAAAAAAAAGAATTTTATATAATTATTCCTTTGTATATACCAATAACAATTATGTGTTCGGGAATTTTTACTTTCACCATATTTATAAGGTAAATTACACAAACAGAAAAAATTAAATATCAAGATCAAAATCATTTTTGCATGCATCTTATATATAGATCTTTATTGATCATATATTGATATATAGATCTTTATCAAAATTATTCTGTTTATATTTATTTTTTATATACAGTATTGTAAATAATTATAAATTCATCTATATTTTATAATTTTTACAAAAATGAAACAAATTGAAAAATTAAAAAATTTATATGTATTTTTATAATATGATACACAAAAATATAGGAAGGAATTTTTTTATAAAAAAAATAATATTTTCGTAGAATTTCATTTGAAACTATAATAAATTTAAAGTTTTATATTAATGTATTATATTTGATATTTTTATATTTAATATTTTATCAATTTTCTTTTATTCTTGACTTTTGATTAAACAATTATAAATTTTCTTTCGCAATCAAGTGAATTCTATCTATATATTTTTCTAACTTTTAAATTATGATCAATCTTTATATACTTCTTCCAACCATAAATATTTTTGCCAGAATATAACATTAAATTTTCAATGATGTCAAAATCAGAATTTTGTCATGACAATGAATTAAAGTTCAAAATATAGTTTAAAAAAAAATAAACTTTTATGGTGAGCATCAATAAAATCTAATATTGCATCAATTGTGTCAAACAAGCATTATCCTAAAAAAATAATTTTCCTAATTTTTGTCAATGTTATAAATGATGTTAAATACTTTTATAACATTTGTTGACTATACAATTTTATTCTGGCAAAAAAAGTTTATATTATAAAATTAATAATGATAAAAAGTTATAGAATCTACTTCAACAGAAATTACACAAAAACCTTTGTTAGTAACACTTCTATCAGATTGCATCCAAATAATGATCCTTAAAAATAATATTTTATACGAACAAGCTCGGTCTTATCCGAAATTAAATCAATAATATATCTTTTAATTTACCATGAATTTGTGACTTTCTAAGTGTTAAGTAGATAATGAAGTAAATATTATGGCTAAAGAAAAGTGCTAGAATTACAAAAAAAGTATATGTATTATGATAAATTATTAAATCGATATTAATATTTTATATACATGTATATTAAAGAATTAAGTAAAATTTTAATATAATATTTGTTTTTTTTTCTTAAATAAGTATTTATCAAATTAATGAAAGTTAAACTATACGATGGTTTGTGTAACTCGCCATTTTATAATGACAACAATTATTTGGGATTGAACAAAAAATGAATTAAAACCATAACTATAAAAAAATTTTATTAAATTTTATCAATGCAAAATCTCTTAATGGATTAGAAGAAATGCTAGGAAATTGCTTCTTAAATCAAATTGAGACCAAATCAATAATTTGAATTGATATATTAAATAAATTATTCAATTACAAATATTTGCGATTACTTGATTATAAATAATCAAAAATAAAATTAAAATTATATTGGATTCATATTTTTGCATAGGTTAAAATATAATTCATTTTCAAGAGAATTCTTTTTTTATTCGAATTTACAAAAAAAAAAATTTTGTTTCTTCATTTCATTTTTTTTCAAACATTATATTATAGAAATATATTTATATATTTATACAGTTTTTAAATCTTTATTTCATTTTTCGTCTATAAAAATTATAAATGAAAACATAGATAAGTTTATAATGTTAATCATAGTATCGTAATAATGTTATCGTAACATTTCTTTCAAGATCATATTATTTGAATTTTTTTAAGTCTTTTACAGGAGAAATTACGTAAGGTGAACAAAGTCTTGAAAGAGGCGTATCAGTTATCAAATACAAATGATATTAATATAAAATACAAGATACAATCATTTATTGCATGTAAATTTATAATTATAATGGATTATTATAATAGAAAACATTTTGTTCAACATCTTCTTCAAGTTACAAGGTATATTTAATATTTTCAAAGCAATGTGTAAAAGTTTGAAATGTTGTAATACCAGCATATTTTTATTAAGTTATTTTAGTATAATTAATATATTAATTGTATATTTTACAAAATTATTAATGTACAGGAAAAAGCAAATAGCCTTAGACGGTAGATAATTTCGAATATTTTTAATATTTTAAAGTTAATAACAACGTGCATATCAAACGAATTAGATATAATCAATTTCTTTTATTATTGAAAATGATATTATCAAATTTCATTGATATTTATTGTTAAATATATTTAATATAATAATGACATATTTAATATATATTTTATTAATTTTATTATTAATATTCAATATATTTTAAGATTTTTAAACATTAATCTTAACTTTCTTAATTTTATTAATTTTATCGTATTATATAAATTAATAGATAATTATTATAAAAATATTTGATAAAATTAATTGAATATGTTTGAACTGAAGTGTTATAAGACATAAAATTAAATATTTTTAAAGATTTATTAAATTCAATTTGAAATAACATAAAATGGATTTGCTTTTTGAATCATGAAATATTTAGAAATCGAGATATTTTTTAGTTGCTTCTATTATAACTGATAATTTAACAGTTGAAATCTATCGATATGTTTTTTTTACTTCTGAAGTTTTCTATAACAATTTTATAGAATCTTCTTTTAAACTAATAGTCTCAACGAGCAATGTATGCAATTAAACTATTATCATTTTTATCTAATAATAACTGAGAAAAATTTTTATAAAAAGCATAAAAAAATAAAATTTTAATACTTTCTATAATTATGTATGAACTTTTCATAAAAAAGGTTTTCGTTACATATAGATACATAGAAAATATGAGAAAATAAAATATTAAAATATTAAAATATTAAAACATTTTTTAATTAAAATAAACATCGTGAGATATTACAATATATTTTTTTACGAAAAAATCTTATGAAATCGAAAATAGTTATAAAATAAATGATGACGATTGGATATATAAATGCTAATATTAATGCCCCAAATTAATATAAGTATTATGATATTTTTGACTATATGCAAATATATATGCAATTTATTGAAAATTATCTGAAGCTATTTATCATTTTCGGATTATGTAAAAATATTTTTTTAATTTTATTAATCTTTCTTTGAAAAAATTATTTAAAAAATATAATTCATTTACAATTAATCAGAAAGTTTTGTTTATCTTCACAAATTTCATAAAATTTAAAATCTATACAAATTTATTGATTATTTATTTTTTTTTGTATTATATGTAAATATCTAGGGCTATCTTCTTTTCTCTCATTAATAATAATATATTAGATAGTAATAAAAAATGAATAATATTAATATTATTTCATTTCCTATTAACTTATTTATTTTTTTTTATTAATTATAGATATATTCATTTTGAGATTTTGAAACTTTCACGTAAACTTAATCAAACATATGCTTATCAAATTCTACTAGACTTAATAATGCAATTTTCAATATTATTGTTTACACTTTATAATGGATATATTTATTTGATGTCATTGAATTTGTCAGAAGCATTATTAGATAAACAAATTATAGAACTTTTAATATGGACTTTTCTACATTCTACAAAAATTATTATTGTAAATAATCATTGTACTAAATTTTATCGTGAGGTAAAATTATATCTATTTACAATATAAATAAGAATTTTAAGACAAATATAATTAATTAGAATTTTATAGGTAGAAGTAACAGCACATTTACTTCGAGAATTAGATATTTGCTATTTGGATAATTCTATTAGAAATGAGGTAAGATCTACTTATTGTAATAATTAAATCAAAATTTATTTTGATTTATTTTTGCCAAAGATTATGTTTCTATGTAACATATTCTCTTCTTATTGATCTTAAAATATATTTTAAAGTTCATTACTTTAAATATTTTCTTTACGTATTATTATTTAATGATTTCAAATTTCCAGTTATTTTTAAAAAACTTGTAACTATTATGTTATTGAATTTTGCTTATATAAGTTATAAAAAATTATTTGTCAATGATTTGTATGTTTTTATATAAGCTATAAAAATTATTTGTATTCATTTTGGGATTTAATTCTTCATATTAGAATCGATGGAAATTATAAAAATTTATAAAAAAAAAATGACTACAAAATTGAAGTTGAACATGATTTTCAGATCAAAATATTCTTTTATTGCATTATATAGTATTCGTCAAGAAGAACAAAAATCAATAAAATCATCAGCCACAAATATATTATTCTCTTGGAAAAAGATGTTATATTTTTATATTCACATTTCATTTATTATTTCTTATATTATTTCTCAAAAATTTCATTTATTATTCAAATAAAAATAATTACACATCTTAAATTAAAAATATATATAGAATGATTCGAGTGTTAGTTGAATACACTATATGCAAAGTTGTTTTGTTTTCTTATAGAAAAACATTGTTAAATATAATTAGTACAAAATAGAAATTCATTAAGCTTAATTAACGAATAATAATGAATTCATGCAATATCAAGAATAATTTATTTTAATATGAATTAAGAATATGAAAATTGAAATTTGGTTTAAATTTCGATATAACATTCCGAATAAGTACATATAGAAAAGCAGAAATTGTGCAAAAATATTTATTATTTAATTATATACCAGTGTTTATAAAAATATGGAACATCTTTGGAAAGTAAATGCTAGACATCAAAACGATAAAAAAAGTTCATATACAAATACGTTCGATAAGTATTAATTAACGAGGTATAAGTATTTTAAATTTATATTAGATAGAGCGAGGGCAAAAGAGTGAAAACTCAAGTAGATGCGCGGAAGTATCATATTACAATATCACTTGCATAGCGGAGCTCTTCAATAAAAATAAATATACTGATATTTCTTTTATATATAATTGATTATTTCAAATGAATTTCAATGTATAATATATAATATAATATATAATATATTATATACATATGATATATAATATACATAAATATCGTATGTAAGTACACATGCAACATTTTTATATCGTTTAAAAAAAATTTTAATTATATTATTGAATTAAAATTTATGTAATTTGTTATTTAACAGAAACTTATTTTAGACAAATTATAACAAATTCCACAATATTTGAAGTTATATAATATGATGATTATACAATATTTCATTTAAAATCATAGATGAATCGTTGCATTTTATTCAATCTACTTATCGAAATCTATAGAAACAAATCAAAATACAATTCTATAAGATTTCAAATTAGAAAGGTTAAATATATTTTTATATACACAATTACTTTTTTAATTATTTTCACATGTATAAAAAAAGTTTGAAGTACTAATGATACTTAAATCAATTTGAATTTCAAATTATTAAACATTCAATCAATTTACTGACAAATTTTTATTTTTATTTTATTTGTAATCAATATTACTTATGCAGAGAGAAGAGAGAAGAATTAATATTGCACATTAATATCTCATATCCATAAAAATACATACATATTGCTTTTTTTATGTATGCTTAAATGAATGTTTCATTAATTTTTTTTTTTTTTTTACACTTTTATTTCTGATATACGTTATATGAACGTTATGAATGAACCGAAACGGATGAATAAATGAATCAGAACAAAGCAACACTATATTAGCAACGGGAAGGATTGTTGATCTAGGTTTTCGTATTCTTAAATTTAATACATACAAATCTAATATTCGATTTCGAATATAATTATTTCATTTTTTCTTTTTATTAAGTTTCTTCTTCTAACATCCATGATCATGCTAACAGCATTCAACTGTTAGCAACGCTATTTCAATAACATTATCGTGTCGCAATGTCAAGTTTGATGAAATAAAATATATTTAAATATTTGTTTAAAATAAAATTTTAATCAAATAATTTTCATATAAAATTAAAATGTACTAATGTAATAATAAATAATAATCGAAATAATTTTATTCAAAGAAATTAATATAAATAATGAAATAATAAAAAAAATATCTAATATGCAATAGTAACGTGAAAAAACAAGTACAATGTTTATATGATTTTTTTGTGGATATAAAATTCATAGTAGCATTAATATGACATGATTAAAATATAGATTTTGAATTTCGACTTTTTTTTTGTTTAGTAATCTCATATGGAAATAAAAAACATTGAATTCAAATAAAGTAAAGACAAAAATTTTTCAAGTGATGCTTCAATTGATTTGTGAATTTCAAATTGATTTAAGTATATATATTAGTGATTTTCTTGTACATGTGAGGATAAGCAAGTTTATGTGTAGAAAAACATATTCAACTTTTCTAATTTGAAATCTTAGAGAAGTATGTTTTGATTTGCTCCTATGAATTTTGATAAGTGGGAAAATTGAATGCAATACAACAATTCCGGTATGGATTTAAATAAAATGATATGTTAATATTCTGGAATTTAGTAAAATTTATTCGAGATAAGTTTTTTGTTAAATAAGAAGTTACATAATACATTATATCATATTACATTGAAATTTATTTGAAATAATCAATTGTATATAAAAAAAATATTAATGTATTTACTTTTATTGAAAGGCTCCATTATGCAAAAGACACGCATCTAGCTGAGCGTTTTCTCTCTTTTTCTCACTCTAATATATACAAATCTAATATATACACTCTATCTAATACAAATTTAAAATGCTTATAATTCGTTAATTAAGTCTTTTCGGATATTTATATATGAACTTTTGTATATGAACTTTTTTCATCGTTTTAATGTCTAAAATCCATCCTCCAGATGTATTCATATTTTATTTTATGAACACTCTATATATGCTGTCATGGACGCACACATTGTTACAAAGACTTAGCCGAAATTCAATTTAATAAAGTTTAACAATAATTTTTTAATAAATATCTTGAAAAATTTAAATTTGCAATAATCACAAATATAATCATTATAATCTGTAAGACTTAAACTTTCAATTGAATTATTACATACATTTTAATTCATTGTCCCAACATTATAATAATCAACTTCAGAAAAAAAATGTAAAATATAATATATAATAAAAAGTAACACTACAATATATTTAATGGACATTTTTTTATAAATTTATAATATTCAATTTTCTTTATACTTAATTATATTTATTTAATTAATATACTAAATAATATTTAATTAATATTTAATTAATATACTAATTATACTTCTATTATATTTAATTTTCTTTTTTAAAATTTTTTAAAATTTAAAAAAATTTTTTTAAAACATTTGAAAATACTTTTTTTTATTTCTTTAAAATATTAGAGGATGCTATATGAATTTTTTTTAGACTTTTTCTCATACTGAACAACATATCGAATATAAATGATTTCAATTTACAATTTGAAATAACCATGAAAAAAACATTTAGGAAATAAAAGTTAATAATAATAATAATAATTTTAGATGCAACAATTTTCATTACAACTTCTTCTTCATCCTTTAAAATTTACTGCTGGCGGTTATATTTTTAATAACAAGTTATCAACTGTGGTAAGTTAAATAAATATGTAATATAATTATTTACTTAAGAATTTAATTTCTCTTTCAGTTTTTTGGTACTATAATCACTTATTTGATTGTATTAATACAAATGAATTGATCGCCAAGTTTAAAATGAAATCTTTGAACAAAACTTTAGAAAGATTAATGGTTTATTATTGCTAAAATCATTTGGAAGAAGAAATAGTAAGAAAATAATAAAGAGATTTAAAAAAAAAAAAAATTAACTCTCGTTCTTATATTGTTAACACGCGAAATCGTCGTGCCTCAAAAATACTTGATAGTATTTATACAAGTGACTATTTAATAATGCATGAAAAAAAAGAATTTAATGAACTGTTTTTGACCTGAATACTTGACTCAATTGTAATGGAAACCATTATTATGGAAAGAGTTGATTCTTGATTGGCCGTTTATCATTTGCAGGATAGGTGCTGATGAATCTTTGGAACAGAAATCACTATTGTGGTTAAACTCTGATTGACCACTTATCAAAATGAATTTAGAGAAGAAATAAAGATGCGTTGGGAATTCAAGAGATTGTACTTGATTCGATTGACATTATGATAAATAATTCGTAAATATATATCAGATTATAAATTATATTTAAACGCAATATTATAAATATCCTTTATAGCTATACAACTTGCTATTTATAAGGATATTATATTGCAGATTTGGCCATTATGACTCATGTCTCTTTTCAATATTGTTCAGAAGAATTGTAAGAAAATTTATTCTTTTCAGTTCTAATTTCTCTCTTTTTAGTTTTAAATTTCAAAAAAATCTTCAAATCTTATCAAGTTCCATCATTAAAAAACTTTTTCAATCATTTTTATACTCACAATGATATCTCATATGTTTTATTGATTATGTATATGTAGTTCATATACATAATCATATTATTTGTTTATGTTGAAAAAATCATTTAATTAATCATTTAAGAACGAAAATTTTTTTATGGTGATAAAATAACGAAAGAAGGATTTAACGAGAACTATAGAAATTAGTTCTTAAAAAGGAAAAAAAAAGATATTCTCATGTATAGAAATAGAATATTTAATTTTATTGTTATATTTGATTCTATTTATATTTTATTTATTACATTAAATATTGTATATATAATATAGAAAATTCTATAACAATTCTAATAATATAGAAAAATAAACATTAAGTATATTTTTTATATGTTTTTAAATATGTTTTTAAAAGATTGGTATCGTGATAGTATTGAGATGCATGAAATATGTACAATCTTATTTTTTATGACTTATATCTAACTAAACGATTTATTGTGATTCTCAATCATCAGACAAAACAATAGCAGTCAATGTTCAAATGTAAATAGAACCATTCAAGAAGAACATCATGTGACTATACAAAATTGGACGAAAAAATAAATTGAATTTTTCATGTGTGAGGAAATTAGAATAAATATGATCAGTTCCTAATTATTATTAAGATTAAAATTACTATATAATTTATTTTACTACAATTATTTTATTACACTTTATTCTCTTTATTTCTTATAATAAATACACAGTTTAGATATATATTCCTTAAATAAATACAAAAATAAAGTATAAAACCGGAATTATAATAATCAAAATTGCAATTATAGCGATATCAATACTTCAATATTTATTATTAAAAAAAAATATGAAAAATATATATTTAAAAATTATCAAAATCGATGAAGTAATATTTTTCTATATAATTACTTTTGATGCTTAAAACAATTTTTACTTTGAATAATAACCTAAAATTTGATAAATTGCATAAATTCCAATTATAAAAAGTATTTTCACAAAATACTATTAAGACAGAAAAATATACAGCGAATAGAGAAATTTCATTAGAAATTTCTTTCTTTAATTATTTCGAAAAACTATATTTATATTTAAGGCTATATGTTAAAGATCTGTTGTAAGTATCAACAAAAATTAATATTTTAACGGTTTGTCTCTTCCAATGCCTAAGATATATCCAGTATGTTATTAGCAAATACTTAAAACTACAATACTTAAAACATATTAAACTAAAAATCTAGAGTCTATTTAAGCATTTAGTATTGAAAAAATGATCAAATTTTAACAATGTATAATTTTTAAAGAAATTCTAACATTAAAAACATTAAAAACCATATTTCGTTTATATTTATTAGTAATCATATTTATCAAATTATGCAGAAAAAATTAAAAGATATCGAAGTACTAATTCTTTTTTTTTTTATATCACTTATTGAAATAAACAATTATATATTAAAATTTTTTTAAAAATTCCTTATATTTTTAAAAAATTTAAGAATACAATAAGAGAATACAATAATTTTTTAAACATGAATATTAGATAATTGAAGATTATAATAAAGAATGGCAAGAATATGTGAAGAAATATCTAGAATAATAAGTTTAATAATTATTTGATATTAAAAATTTGTTGGGTGTTCGTGTGTATACTTATCATAGAAAAAATATTGACATACATCAAATTTTTCTGTTTTTGACTCTCTTTTTTTGAAAGTAAAACATATATTTTTTTCATTTTTCAAAATAGTTCATATAATTTATATATAATTATATATATATACACATGAAATTTGTTTTTAATGTAGAATTAAATTATATTGATAATGTTGTATATTGTATAATGAGTTTATATATATAAAAGTGCTCATATCTTGTATATTTATGTCTGAATTGGATATCATTGAACTGCGATCGCTGTTTCTGTTTCTGTTTTGTCTCTCTCTTTTATTGTTTATTCTCTTTTTTCAACCGATATGCAACGCGACATAATAATTCAGCGTAGTAGAACAAAGGCAGTGTAATAGAACATGACCCATATTTATATAACATAATTTATTTCTATTTTTTCTTTATTAAATATATATTTTGTTATTACTTTTGGTAAAATCATTTATTCCCTAATAGATAAAATATTTTAATTCCTTTTATATGGTTGTATTTTTATGTAG